CGGTACAGTAATTTCACCAATCGTATTTTTTTAAACCGATTTTCCGTGGGGTCAAAAGTCTTTTTGGGTTTAACGTTTTTTAACGCTGTAAGCAATTTCACGAATATTAAATTGACATAAATTACGCCATGGATAACATTGATATTATATTAATAAGGATAATACTGTGAGTTATAAATAGATTAATACCTTTTACACTAAGGATATTATATATGTTTGATCATTGGTGATGATTCAATTACAGTATGAGTTATATAAATAATAAATAACGCACACACTCAACATAGTCCCGCACTAGGGAAACCCTGTGTCGCGGGTGCCATGGACACACACATAGACAACCACAAATTACACCCAAATTCACGAGATAAATAAATGTAAGCCATACAAACATTTCTTCCGGCCCGGGATTCGAACCTGGGACCTCTGCGTGGCAGTCCGACATGGTAACCGTTCGGCCACGGAGGCAGTTACTTGAAAGTGACGCCATTTTGTAGCAAGATTCAAGGTTCTACTGGCTTTTGCAAGTTTTGTTTTTACTTTCATTTGCATAGTGTTTAAAACTAAAAAGGTTCAGCCCATGGAAAATGGTAGCCACCGCTTATAGATACTTGCAATCTTTATAATATACTAAAAGCTAAAATGGCTATTGACAATGGGCACTTAGACCCAGGACATGGAAGTTTCTTTTTGTCATAATATTAAGTGACGGGACGAACAAGTCGTGCGCGCGATGGTAAGCTACACGCCTGTCCATAACATTTGCAGTGCCAAATAGAGTTTTAAATCGCAAAGATCTGAGAGGCACTGCCACTGCGCCCATCACCCACACATAAGTTATCAAGAAAAAATAAACAAAATAAAAAAATGAAAAAAATAATTATATAGATATAAAAAGATCGAACACTCAGAAAAAATTAAGCCACGGAACGAACCAACGGACCTCACGAATTTTTCTATGTGCTTGCGTCGTGTCTTTGTACTTGGTCTTTCAACGACTTTTTAGTCGTATCGCCATCTATGAGAAATCTATGACAGATTTATCACCCAGTTAGTACCTTTACAGCTACCAGTCCTGGCGAGAGATGTCGCTATTCACTGTATTAATTAAATTTTTTCTGAGTGTTTTTTCTGAGTGTTCGATCTTTGTATTAATAATTATAACAAACTAGTGGAGTAATTTCACAAAAAATAATTGAATATCAATTCAATAAAAATTTAATGAAAAAAATAAAATAAAAAAGACCCATGTGCCTTTAATTTCACCAACACCTTTACATTTTTTTACATTACTGCTTGGCGGCAGAAATAGGTAAGGTGGCAGTACTACCCTGGACGAACTCTTTCACAAGGAGCTCTACTGTTACAAAAAGTGTCGACCTGGGACCTCTTCGTGGCAGTCCGGCATGGTAACCGTTCGGCCATGGAGGCAGTTATTGTAATTGTGCCACGCCACCTCAAGCGAAGTACAACCTTTGGCGCAAGAGATTTCGAATTTGCATGAGCGTTACTCTTAGAGAACAAACGGCTATGGAGTGCCCTGCTTGCAGGCTTATTCCCTGAACGGTACAACTTGGACCTTTTCAGGGCGTGAATGAATAGGCATTATTTAGGTATGCATGATCTACCTTTGTCCTCGTAATTTTTCATCAGGTAAGATGGAGATGAATTGTCATGCTCCATCTGGAAGTGGGTAAATAAACTTTGAGCTCAGGTTGGACAAGCAATTTCTTCAGATGGGATTTTTTCGGATGGTTCTTAAGCCGGTTTGTTAGTGCGGTACAATTCTCGCATGTACCCCGCCTGAGTTTGCGGATTTTAATGGCGATATAATATTGGTACATAACATAGTAAGGTCATAAATTACCATAGATAGGAGGAATTCTATCCGGAACACAGTATTGCGGTGGCGTTTTGCGGTTGAAGTAGATAGTATGATGGTTGGTACCACTAGAGCAGAGGTCCCCAAACTTTTTTATCTCATAGATACCCTTCCGGCTGGAGTGCCTGCTCACGTACGTATTTTCTATTTTGCGTAGATCCCTTACCTTTTTAAATTTAGAATTTTAACAAATTATAAAAATTCATCAACTTCAATCGTGGTTTGACAGCTAACACAGTGCTGACTTTGATGGGTTTAACTGAAGAGTGATGTGTAAAATTTGAAAAAAGTTTTATACGTTTTTTAATGAGTGTGTGCGCGGTATTATGTGTTCGTTTTATTTAATCAAATTTAGCTCCATAGCTTCATTATTCATCACGTTTCTTAAACATTTATGTTTTGAAAATAAGTTTACTTCATAGGTATTGTACATGTCCATTACAAGAAATTAAGTAGGTAGCGTCCATCCACATAGGATTATTTCATTCATGGAAAGTCAAAATTTTCATCACAGCCTTAATAAATAAGATCCACTCTGTCGTGAACCATTTTAACAACTCACACACTTTCCTTTTTTTTCTGCTGACGTGACCCTTTTAGCAGGTTGGGAGTCGAACACTGAGGGGGTCGATATATATCAACCAGTTTGAGAATGTTTTTTTATTTTACTTTTTTATAATATCAAGTCACGAGACGTACAAATCATGGGTCTAGTGACACACGTCTGTCCATAACAGTGCTGCTTCTATGCTGATTGTTTAGCAAATTTGGTTCGATATTGAATCTGAAATTTACGATACTCCTTTAATAAGCTTTTGTTAAGAACATAGTCTGCCAGGATAGTGGTCTCTTCCATTGACTCTACATCTTGGTTATATTTAGAGTTCATTGATCACCGATGTGCCTGAATGATGAAATTCATTTATGGCAAAGAACACTGTAATTTTAGCCAGTACGTTATGACATAACTATATAAAAAAAGGCTACAAAAAGATGACCTCCTGATGAGAAACTGACAATCTCTTCCTTTATGCAAAAAGAAACCATTCGTATATTATGCAGCCCAAAGAAGTATTACAGTGGTTATAGTATATAATACGAGTGATGTAAATAAAAAAACGAAGTTACAAAGTGAATGTGATTGCGTGAATCCATCTCAGACGTGCGGGTTTGAATCCGGCGCCCGAGATGCGCCTGCGCAAAGCTAACCAAGACACGTAGTCAGTGGAAGTGATCACTACCGAAGCTAACTATAATCTCTAAGGCTAACTAAGATACGGAATCAATGGAATAGACTACTACTGTCGCTGACTATATTCTTAACAAAAGTAATTTAATGAGTTTTATACATTTCCGAGTGAATAATACTGGCTATAAAAAGATTTGATCTGACTATTACCTTTATTCAGTAGATTAGATATTTGTTCTTGTGTGCAATAAAGAATTGTTGTTCTTGTGGAAATTAATAGTCTTTATTGTCACTTTAAAAGGCTTATCGATTCGAAAGGTCTAATAAATTAAATAAAAATTGATTTAATCAAAGGTGCCTAATCATATCACTACGCCCGCCGGTCTCCCACTGGCGTAGGCAGAAACTAAAGACAACCTCTGCGTTCGTTTGTAAATCCATAATCGTAACTTTTTCGAACCACGTTAAATAGACTTTAGTTTAACTAATTTACCGTTGATGTAGAAAAAGAAAATATTTAAATCTGATTAAAAATAATTTTTAGTTATACAGCAAACATATAGAGTTTTTACAAACGTATCAGTGAAGCTAATGCTTTTTAATACTGTGTATTCTTCGGTGGGGATTAAAATTGTGGCACATCCTGTAACTTTAGTTCTTAATGAAATCTTTAACACGCGAACGAGCGATAAGTAATTGTACAAACTTGTTAATGATTATTTAACTAATGATGTTTTTCTCATTGCGAAAAAGAGTGTTGTTTTTAATGACTTATTACAACAAGTGTCGTGGTTTTATTTTAATTGAGAAATGTTTATTTATTACAAAATATAATACGCTTTTTTAACCGACTTTGAGAAAATGGAGGAGGTTCTCAATTCCACTGTTTTTTTTGTGTTTATGTTTCGCGATTACTCGCGGCATTTTTGAACCAATTCCGATGATTTTTGTTGAAAAGACCGTACCTCGGTATTGGTCCCATTTAAATTTGAAGAAAATATATATTCCACCTCTAAGGGTAGCAAACTAGGGGATGAATCCGGTGTCACGCACTTTCCTATAATGGATTTCAATAAAACTTGGCATATAGATGTAGTAATTCCACGAACTTTTGAGGTCGGTTTTTTTTTGTAAAAAAGTTATTACGAAACTATATTACTTGTGAAAAAGAAAATGAAAGCAAGTGTTTTTTCCAAGACTATTGTGTTATTTTCTTATGCATACTTTTCTTTGTAAAGTTTTTAATAAAAATCAATTGATTAAAACGTTTGAATAAAAAATTTTGGGAAAATAAGGATATTTTTTAATAATCTCAAACTTAATTTATGTGACTCTTAAACAGAGGTTAAAAGTCTTTATAGCCAAGATTCTAGATTACAGTTTGCAATTTTCATGCAATCTTAACTTTAAGCGATACCGACAAAAGATATATTTCTGTTACTTTTCCTGCGTTGCAAAAATATTAAACAAGGCACAAGAACAGAAATCCCAAAATGACGTAACTTTAAATCTTGCTATTTACGGAGGCAATTAGATAAACAACACAGAAATAACAATTTGTTCTCAACCAATTTGAAATTTTGTTTGTTTTATAGCCGTATAACTGAGTTATGTTTTAGTTTTTTGGCACTGCCTAATACCGGTCAAGGTAAAAGAAAACAAACCAAAATATTAAAATTAGTTATACGAATTAGCAACGCATAATGAATCTCACTTTTTCGCATAATAGTTTTATAATTAGAACAAGAATACAGCTCGGAGTAAAAATACAGCCACTGCAGTTATCGCATCGCGTGGGTAGCCCCGGGCATGCGCACTACACCCCTCCCGGTAGTCAGTTGCAGAGGTCCCTAACCTAACAGCTGATATAAACACACAAACCTGGCAACTCGCCAACTAAAATTACGTACCAAAGAAACCAAGACTCACCTTTGTCTGTGTAGAGTCAGGTTGCATGAAGTAAAATAGGAAAAACATCCAGACAGCTCCAATAAGGAAAAGAAGTTTGACGTTTCGACGCATTTTTGTTAGAACTTAATTATAAAACGTGCCACTATTATATTAATTTGCACTACAATTTCGGATACGTCGCGTGTCAGAACCGAGCCCGATTCGCGTTTGTTTTTGTTTTTTTTTGTAAACCGAGGCGGGCGGCGCACGGCCGCACTCCGTGCTGCGGCGTGCGGACTGAGACTGGTTCACAAGCAATGTAGTCAGATAGGCTGCCGGTCATGCGCGTATCGGTCCTCGACATCGCACTCTAAAATAGAACTTATGTCGTTACTACATTGCACTCTGAGACAGTGTGTGAGCTTCGATAAACTTACTGACTGCGTTTGACACGACGCGTTATGCCGATGCGTACTTATCAGTATGATAACTTGATAACAGTATGATACACTTTGGAACTTATTGATTTTTATAAGATGTGAAGTATATTTAGCCACAGATAAGTTAACGCCAATTTGAACTCTATGTAAATATAGTGCGGCTTTATTCACGACATAGTTTTTTCTTACAAATTGTTTACATTGTGGTGCGTACTGTGATACCAATGTAGTGGAGTTAGAGGTATTAAATTGTCAGTTTAAATTTCTGGTTTGATTGCTGTGCAAACAATGGTTTGTTTTCCTTTCGCTATAGTTTACAAATAGGTAGTCAGTCTAAACTGACAGGTCGACGTGATGGATGGAGTGGATGAAAGGATTAGGTTCTTGACTCGACTGTTTTTTTTGTGATTCCCCAAACATTTGAAGTATTTTTTTATAAAATTGGTGTAATTATTAGGATTAATAACATTAAACGAGTTTCTAGTTATTAATAATAAATAGTCTTGTCTTAATCTACTTCACTGATCCACTCAGTGGGTCATACATGAAAAAAAAACAATAACTTATTTTTTTATTGTATTGATATTCAATTAGTTTTATGTAAAATTACTCCACTAGTTTGTTATAATTATTAATACAAAGATCTTTGCTAAGTCGTTGAAAAACCAAATACAAAGATACGACGCAAGCACATAGAAAAATTCGTGAAGTCCGCTGGCTTATTCCGTGCCTTAGTTGGTATAGCGTCTGCCACGGTGTCCTAGAAGACGTCAGTTCGAATCCGGCCGGATCGAAGAATTTTTTTATGAGTGTTCGATCTTTGTATTAATAATTAAAATAATAACTTGATAACAGAAATATGAGAGATGCGCTATCATCATCATCAGCTTACAGGCATCCGCTGCTGGATATAAGTCTCTCCTTGACCACTCCAACTGTCCCGGTCGTGTGCTGCCCGTATTCATCCGCTGCTGGCCACCGTTCGTATATCGTACATCTATAACTGCATCGGTGTGCGAATGGTTACCACACCGGACTATCACGCTGAAAATTAAAAATGATCTTTTAGGCCATGGGAGAGGCGATCTAAAATAGATAATAATAATAGCGCTCACTCTCGTAACCGCTCACTAGGGATATTTTGTTTCGCGGGAGCCATGGACACACACGTAGATAACCACAAATTACACCAAAACTCACGAGAGAAACAAAAGTAGGCCATACAAATATATCTCCCGGCCCGGGAATCGAACCTGGGACCTCTGCGTGGCAGACCCGCATGGTAACCGTACGAAGGCAGTTTTTCACCAATTCTTTTTCAGTGAGTACATTGAGAACTAAATCTAACACATAATAAACACGACAACATTCTTTTTCAAAGTAACATTTGTAACTATAAGATAAGATCAATAAGATCAATAAGATCTACGGTGCGTGTTTCGACGACAGCACAGCTGTGAACCATTGTTCAAAAAACTAAACATACTGCCTTTGCCATGTACATTAGGGGGTATATTTGTCAAATCTAGTAATAATAGTAATAAAAGTAATAATCTAGTAATTATAATAATAATAATTACAATAACGACAACGACAACGACAACGACAACGACAATGACAACGCCAACGCCAACGACAACGACAAGGACAGCGACAGCGACAGCGACAAGGACAACGACAACGACAACGACAGCGACAGCGACAGCGACAGCGACAGCGACAGCGACAGCGACAACGACAACGACAACGACAACGACAACGACAACGACAACGACA